ACACTTTCATCGGGTGTATTATATTCTTCTCCTCAAGCAATTTCCGGCTCAAATTGATAAAGAACAGCCATACTTCCATAGCGAAATTTGGTGATTCAGCTCCAGCTATCCAACATGTTCCACTATCTGACGTCATCACACCTCATTCATCCTAAGCCATCAAATCCGCGATATTCCACAGGGAGCCCAGCTTAAGTCATTTCGCAACTTTGACGGACGATATCACCCCAAAAAACGCATTTCATGGAACTTTCATTTCGATTTTCAAAATCAACAAGGTTTGATGTACATTTTAAGCTATGATGTGTCTGGCACCTCAGAGTCCCTTTAAGAATCCGTTGCATGCTTTCCCACTCTACAACCCATTGACCATGCGATGCTCTTTCAGTCGATGTTGTCTTTAACCCTTCGTCTCAAAAACACATGTATGGTAATGCGCATTTTAAAAAAAATTAAAAATTTGGAACTGGGTAACTGGATTTACACAGAGTAATTTTCATCCAGGCCCTTTTTAGATCGAATTAGAATTTAGAAGTTGATTTTTGTGGAAGGAGGAAAACCCTCGAAGTACAGGAGAGAACCAACAAATTCTACTCACATACGATGAGTATAAGGATAGAACCCATGTCGCATAGGTGAGAGGCGAGTGTTCTCACCGCTACACCTCTATGCCACCCGTGCTTACCATGAAAAAAAGGAAAAGTGAGTTGAGTTCAACTAAGAAGGAACAGGAGGGACAAAAAAGAAATTATTCATTTATTTGTATTTTCGTGTTAACCTCGAATTGAAGATAATTTTGAGAAGGGTCCATTGTACCTTTGACATTTTCTTTGAAAATATAACTATTTCAACAGACGAAAATAATATAAAAATTCTGATAGTTTCTTTAATTTCCCTGCTATGTTGCCCCAGTGCTCAGTTTTCCATGGTGCTCTGTGAGCTTTGATACACATTTGGCTATTTAAAAGTGTGTGGTGACGTGACCCGCGTGACCTGTTAGTTCTCACCTCTGGTTTTACTGCACAGACGTAGCATTTGGGATTTGGTTTTTCAAGGGCGCATGGGACAAGAAGTTTCTTCCGTTGATTTGGTTGCCGGTTAAGATAAATCTAAAAAAACAATAAATTTAAGTCAATACAAAACTAACCCTACAAACCCAAAAGAGACCGTTAATTTATACTTTTCTGCCCTTAGTTTTCTGGCTCCGTTCTGGCTAATTATAGCTATTACTATTTTCACCCTTAAAGCAGCAATGAAACGAGTACGCGCGGAATGTTATCATGACTTTCTGGGTGTGATTCCTAGGTGAGAAGCATTATGAATGCCCCAGGGTCGGCAGTTGCCTATTTAAGCGAGAAAATCCAAGGTTTCGGCCTCATTTGTTCAGGTTTGCTGTATTAGTCAGTGCTAGACGGATTTTTGACCTCACCCACCTCCCCTTCGGCGACGTTTCTCCATTATAACAGTTCAGTCCGGTAGCTTAATCACAGCTCGGCAAAACTAGTGTTCCCAAAACTTAACCGCGTGTATGAGATGAATGGCTGCTTTGGCGGTGAAAGCGATACACAATTTTCCTCAAATCTGATTGGTTGACAAGAATTGTCCTGTTTAGCATCTAATCAAGCAATACTCCAGTTTCGAGTTCTCTTTGCTCAGCCTTAGTCTCGGTTGTAAATATTCAGCTATTCAACCAAAACCCGTGGCATTTTAATCAACTCGTATTGTTCCGTAGTACGTACATTCCTTACTATACAATGGAACTTAATAAAAGAAAAGAACACATTTGTACACAATCGAGGCACGTGAAGGCAGCCATGTTAGATGGCAGGAACAATACAATCGTTTTACATGAGAAAGAATTCAATTTCCAAGAGCAAAAGAATTTTTTAATCTGCCATCTAACCACAGGCAGTCCAAGCTGGATTATGGCGCCGGCAAGTGATGGTGCAAAACCTTTATTGTTTCAAGTCGAGGTATTTGGGTCAATGCAATAAAATGCATTGAAACTGACCCAGATGTAACAACCATTTAAAGACAATAATGACGTAACATGCACCCCAAGCATAGCCATTTTTAGAATGGCCCATGTATGAGTATCATTGTACACGTACCGTTTTACATCTGTCAATTCTGTCATTAAGTATGTTTAACCCCTGCATGACTATGATGGCTGCAATGATAGCATTAGTTGTTGCAATTGCAGGGATGATGTTGCCAGCCATAGCTATGGAAATAAGAAAGGACTACAGCATTATTGCATTGGCAATCAATGGTTCAGTGGGAATCAAATATGGCGTAGCTGGGGGTCTCGGGTTCAGGTCTTGGACTCACCAGTCACCTGTGATCAGAATTCATTAGGTCTCTTTCATGATTCAAGTGTTTTTCTCCGGGTTCTCTTTTTTTCCTCCGGGTTCTCCCCCTTTCCTCCGGGTTCTTCCTCTTTCCTCCGGATTCTCCCTCTTTCCTCCGGGTTCTCCCTCTTTCCTTTCTCCACAAAACCGAACAAACTAAATTTYAATAGGCGACTTACACTAAGAGGTCAAGTGATCAAATCGGCCATTGTGGCTGGCATTCTACAGGATCTTGGCTATGCGAGAATGTAAAAAAGATGGCGATTCGGGAGATTTTTTTGGTGATAAGGTAAGTTAGCGCACTAAATAACGATAAAAATCCCCTTTTCTTGCAAGAAATATATTTTTAGTAGATATCTAAAGTAGATTTTTGCTATAAACCCGCCAAGAAGAGAAAAAATATGGTATTTTGTGCGCTACGGTGTGAAGACCTACGAAGTGTTTAGTCTTGTTTTGCCGACTTCATGACCTCAAAACAACGACTTCTTGTCAAAAAGAATTCAAGTATTTTTCAACTTCATTTTTGAAAAATGCAATAAATATGCCTTTAATAGATACCTTAAGTGGATTTTTGCTGTTCATTCGCCAGGAAGAGGGAAAATATGGTATGTTTTGAGGTCATGTAGCCAGCGAAACAAGAGTGAGTTAGCCTGATCTATATTAAGCTTAGAGGTTGTTTCAGGGAATTGTTCCTTTAACCTTTTATAAAATACTGTATTTGTATTATGGTGATGATGGTTATGATGATAATGTTAGAGCGAAAGGAGATATAAGACTCTAGCCCTATCAATAATATCTCCAAAGATCAAATTCAAATTTAGAAGTTGATTATTAAGGAGGGACGAAAACTAGGGAAACTGGAGAATACCCTTGAAGAAGAAAAACAAGCACCTCTTTAGTCACATATCACACCAAGCCCGGCAGGACTCAAACCTGCATGGGGTCGCATTGCCGAGAGGCGACTCATTAGCAGTGGGCACGCCAACCATGCTTCCCAACCTGATGCCGCATCGTGTCTGAGTGCATTTACAATATCATGGATTTCGAAACCACAAATAATCTTAATCAGTTCAAACACATTGTTTAAAAAATATTCACACAACGATAGTAGTCTTTTTAGGAGGACCAAATTGGAAAAAAGTAAATAAAGTGTTATTATTGATAATCACATACAACATACCTTTCACATCAAAACGGCTTTTCATTGGTATTCCAAATATGTGGGCTCTGATGTTGGCTGCGCATGTTACGAAATCCATTGATGGCGAGTCATCCTAATGACATTCAATTTTTAGATATATAATTTAATATCACTGTTATAGGGGTTCCATTAAGTTTTGAAATCACAGGAGAAGGTCATGAAATAGCCAGAGAGTCTAAGTAAACATTTTACAAATTACTAAACTATAGAGGCTTTGGAACAGTAATGATGAAAAGGTAAATTATACACCGTGAAAAGATGAAAAAACTTACTGACGTTTCGGACGCTAGTCCTTCGTCTTTTACTCCGACGAAGG